GACTGTCTATCTCAGTGGCAGCATCTAGTCAATCTTTCTTAATTTGTTCATCTGCAAATATTAAAAAATATTTTACCTAAGTTTTATTTTTATTGTCTAGAACAATTAGCAGTTATTCCATACAAATATTAAACATTTTCTCTTTAAGAATTCAACTGTAATATACTCTTATACAACTTATGCAGTAAGTATAGCTATGGACATTTTGTAATTACTGAAAACATATTTTAACTATTGTTGAAAACAAAAAGTCGGACTACATAAAATCAATTTAGGAATATTGGTATGGAATCTCTCTCTTCATTCACAATTACGGTATATAATGAGCCCAAAGTCATCCAGAAGTGAGCTTTTGGCAGTAGCTGAGAACGAACTTGAATACAGGTCAGTTAGTTCCTACTCCAACAATGACTTACTATCCATACTACACACACACACACACACACACACACAGTGGGGAAAAAACAAAGGATTGCATCTGTACTCCACCATGAGCTCCTGAAGGAAAAGTGGGATATAAATCTCAAATAATTCAGGATGTCCCAAATGCCTTACTATAATTTTTAGTGTTAAAGGCTTAAAACTGCACTAAGACTATTGGAATGCCCTGTATTATATGTGTGATTGTAAGTATTGATTATATACACCAACAAGAAATTGTAATATTAGTTTTTCATTCAAAACCAATTGCTAGATAATTAAAACAGTTCTTTAGTCAGAACTGAAGAAGGTTCTTGAATGAGAAGTGAAATGTCTTCAAAAAACAAAGAAGTCCAGTTGCCTTTTGAAAAGCACCTTTGGGACAACTGTGACCTGAGTGACTGTGAGTCTCCATAGACATAATTAAAAAAACTTAAAACGATTTTAAATGTATCTTTTAAAAAGTGTAGCAAATAAATGGGTTATATATTGGCCCATTCAGTCCTTGTAGTCCTGATCCTCGAATGCATATGATATTCTAGAAGCTAGCAACAAAATTATTTATGAAGGTTTGAAGGCACAGGATGTTAACAAATCAATGGAAGATTTACAAGCTCTTATATTTGATGTGAAATTAAAATGGAGGCTTCCTCAGAACCATCTGTTGAGTTTTGCTCTTATAATTCATATTAATGTAAACCTATACATGTTTATTCAAAGTAATTGGCCCTGACTTGAATGAGATATCCATACATACACACATACACAAACACACACACATATCCATATCCTTAATAAAATTAAGGATACAGCTTAATAAAAGTAAAGCTATATAGAATCAGGAGCAAGAATTCATACTTAATTACATATGGAAGCTATGGACATGGAATAAATGCTATATTCTGTGAGAGTGAACTTAAAATATAATTGAAAGTAAAGCCAATGACAAGTGTTTGTTAAGTTTTATTTCAAAGAAAAAATAAAAAGCAATAACAAAATCAAAAATTCATTAATCCTTTTTGAATCAGGAAATATTGATCCCATACATCAATGATACAAATTGCTCCTTCAATGTAGAACTACATTGATTTGAAAGCTTTATGCTAAGACACAGATTACTTAAGAATTAAAAGTAATAAAAAGTTTAGCTTTTCCTTTTAATTTGCTTTGGTAATATAATATACAGCACAAAGGAATATTTTTTTAAAATAATGTTCATTAATTTAAAAAGGTATCTGCTTTAATCAACTTGTATTTAACAATAATACAGCAGGCAATGGAATTCTAATTGTATCTACTTAGAATTAAATAAAAGTTAATTCCAAGGAAATATGCTGTGAATTGCAGCTCTAAAGACATTACAAACCTGGATTATTGTACTACAAAACCGCAGTTTCTTGGATTATAAAAATCTGTTCAAATATCTGAAGAATTACAAAATTACCTTGATTTTCCGATTATTATAACATATGCAATTATATTTTAACTGATTCTGAATATAATGGTGTCAATTCAAGTTAAATAGTTATTGCATAATGATTTGAAATAGGTGCCTGGACCTCATGTGAATGCTTCTAGATGAATCTGAATAAAAGATGTGATTGCTTTATGAATCTGACTCTAAAGCAGCAGCATTTTTTTCAGGCTTATGAAAAAGCTTGAAAATATACGTTGCCCTTTAATAAATAGGAGAGAGATGCTATGCTTGTAATCATAAAAGGTCCAAGCAAATCTTCTGAATCATATCTGAAGCATGTACAATCTTAGCAGAAATAATAAATCCTGTTGCAAATTCTTTTAAAAGAACTTATTTGATATAATTAACGTATTAGATTATACTAGATGCCAAAACATTTCAGGAGTCACTGGGCTTGCAGCCTCACCTACCAAGCAAAGTTTTAACAAGAGGCCAGGCAAGGTTCAAAGTAAGGCTACATAATGAAAATACTCTCAGTTGAATGTTTGATATAGAGAACTGAATAAAAACAAAAAAACAAGCAACAAATGTGCTTAGCATTATATTCTCTCTGGAATCTGTTAAAATGAATTATTTATGAGAACATGCTGGGGAAAAAAAGACAAAACTGTAGCAGATGATCAACTTTAGGGCTGTTGCAGAATAGAATTTCAGGAAACTGGATCCAAGTCAGAAATTCAATTACTTAATGAAAATGATCTTGTTTCACTGTTTGGCTTCTGTTGACCCATTAGGAGTGTCCTTATCATGTGAATCTTTTGATCATTTGATAGACTGTTACAGTAGTTACAGAAGTGAAAAATCTGCCATTGATTAATGCTATTCTATTGTGGGATTTTAATTTCCAAAGAAATATTAATAATTGAAATATCTATTTCCTGAATATACATTTTTTAAATCAGTACAATCAGAAATATGACAGTAGGTCAAACCTCTAAAATGATAGATCTACTATGTTAAACTTATTAAGTATTTTCAATATTATCACCTCTAAAGCGATTTTTAAAATCCTGAATCTAACTATGTTGATTCTAACGTTTTTTTCATTTAAAGAAAAATGAGAGAAAATGCTAATAGTAATCAATAGTAATATATGATATCTTCATTAAGTCTTTCCTCACATTGAAATTTTGGTCACCAATATTTAATTTGCATTGTTGTAACATATCACAGCTTTGATTAGTTTGCATGGATTACAATAACTTTCATGAACTGGACTAATCACTTTTTTAAAAAAAAATCCCCATTCCATCCTTCTTACTGTATCACGCTCCTTTCAATATCTTAAATGCCACTGCAATGTGATATCATACAACACAGTATAATATAAACATTTTGTGGAATATAAATTTTAGTTAGACACCACAAAAAATTCTGCCTTCCTAAAACCTATTCTTAGATGATGTCAGACTACCATTTTCAGAATCCTGGGTTTCAATCATCCCCTGCCTGGGGCAGAAATCTAATACTCTAAATGTATCAGGGAGGTACTAATAGTGGAAGGCTGCAGGGGCTACACCAGTTATGTCAAACCTATGGCCTAAAAGTCACAGCTGTGCAACCTAAGCCTGGGGGCATCCCCATATCCACTTTTCTCAGGTTTCTGCCAAAGTATAATTTGGGCAAAAAGAGTATGTATATATATATATATATATATATATATATATGTAGGTCTTTGGTTGTTCGGGTTTTCTCCCACGTAAAATTGGAAGTGTCTTGGCGACGTTTCGACGAAGTCCCATTCGTCATCTTCAGGCTGGTGTTTTCAGCTTCGTGCTTCGAGCAGCAACGAAGCTGAAAACACCAGCCTGAAGATGACGAATGGGACTTCGTCGAAACGTCGCCAAGACACTTCCAATTTTACGTGGGAGAAAACCCGAACAACCAAAGACCTACATACAAACACCCGCGAAAACCTCAGAAAACATATATATATATATATATATATATATATATGTCTATTCTTAAAATGAAAATTATTTTTAATTTGAATCAAATTTTTATACTGCTCTCACACAATTTGGACAATGCCGTTCCCAGCACACTGCAGAAAGCCCATTGCTGCCCCCCCTCCTAAAAAAAAATGAAACAAAGGAAAAGATTTTTGTCTTGCCATAGACAATGAAGCATTCTCTAATTGAAAAAGCATGAATATTTGCCTCTGCCTGTTAGTATTAAATCAAGGGTGTAAAATGCAGTGTTTTTTAAATATATGCCACCATTTAGCTTAGCTAAATAAATCAAATCTAAAAGCCTGGCACAGACAGATATGGACAGTATTATATCCAGGATCTTTCTTTATAATTTTATTTTGTCATCTGCCTCAAGGTCAGTGGCTGAAAGAAAGCCAGAGGAGGAAAGAGAAAGAGTGAGAGTGAGAAAGCAGATGATGTCATTTGCTTCAGTGTTATTAGCGACTGAAAAAGCATGACAACCGAACCCAATTTAAGAAAAAGCCTGGTGGCAACACATCTAAATAAAAAGATTGTTTTCGCTGCAAGGCTTATAGTAGTGTTTGGAGCCAGCGCTTGAGAGAGAAAAAGGGAAGGGGGGCCTCTCTAAGAGGGCTGTACTTTGCTTATAGCAAAGGCTTGGAAGTCAGGATTGGGTCGGTTTCAATGACATAATCTGGCCCTCTTGTCAAAAGACAGCACAGAACCCGTTTTGTTGCTCCTTCGCTCCGGTTCTGGGAGTTCCTCCACAGCAGCGAAGCAGCAGTGCCCGGAATGGCCCCTGCTACATTCTCTGTATTTACGCCTGTCTGTCTGCCCACCGTCCTGCAGAATCCCATCGGTGCCGGAAATTCAAGGGAACCCCGCACGGGAGACGCCAAGAGGCTGCGAGATCGCCCGACAGGATTTGCCCAAGGCTGAACAGCTCGCCGCGGGCTCCGAGCCAAGCCGGCTTCCCAGTCCAGCCGAACGGTGGAAGCGGAGCACCGCTCGGCATGTTTCGGAAAAAGCGTAAATGTGCGCGAGGCGAAGCTCTCGCGGCGGCGCGCTCGCGCGGTCGGGGAAACCCTCCCTCCCCCAGCCGAGAAGGCTGCAGGCTCCCCCGCCCCGCCCTCTCACTGCACCGCCAGGGCTTCCCCGCGCCAATGCACAGCCTGGCGGGAGTTACTGCGGCTTGCCCGGCTCCCCCCCTCCTCCCCGGCGGGGCCGCCGCCGCTTTCTAGCAAAGGTCACTCGCACAGCTCCTCGCCTTCTCCTGGAAAGGGCTGCCGGCTAGCTGGGAGGGGCTGATTAAGCCCCCCTCCCCCGCAGCTGAAAGAGTTTCGTCGCTTGGGAGGGAGGAGGAACGCGAGCACCGCCTTTCGCGCTGGCATTCCGGGATTTCCCTTTGTTTAGAGCCGGGAATCCTCCTTCCTCAGCGGTCTTTCCCTGCCGCAGTCCTCAGAGCTCTCACTCCGGATCGGTCTTCTAGTTTTCAATAAGCTTACGCTGGAATAAGCGGCTTGAGAACTGGATTATTGCTTACTATCTTTTCCTCCTTTTTCATGCTCGGGCATCCCTGGGCTTCCCCAGCAAAATTGCAGAGTAGAAGCTCTGAAAACTGCCATCCGAAGATGAAAACGCCGCACGTTCCTTTGTTTCCTCCGAGGATAACCCCTCCCATCGCAATACAGGGAAGCCCTATCCTCCCCCGCTCCCCAAACGGTTTGCCATTTCGCTACCCCCACCCAAAATGGGGCCCCGATTCGGGAGCAATTTACAAACATTGTGGAATCTTTGCTTGAAAGTTTCTGCAAAGGTTTTATACGGCATATAAATCCAGTCGGATCTCCCTCCTTTGTCCTTCACCTCCCCTCAAAATAAAACACTATTTAGCCTTTTCTGGGGTGGGGGGAGGAAAAGAGAACAAATGGGGCGGACTACCTCCCTGGTGCGGGAGGTAGAATATCATAGCGAAATATGATAAGCACCAAGCAATAATCGTTCAGGGGATGAAGCCCTGGTTCAACAGGCTCTGGAGGAATCCAGATAGAGGGGAGGGGAGGAATCACCCTTACCTGTCTGAGCAGTTCTTGCATCAACAGCGGATGGTACTGGTGATAGCTCCCCTCCTCCCTCCCGGACTGTCACTGAGGGGGGGGGTGTCTTGTGGTGGCAAGAGGAATTCCCCCCGGCAGGGAGGAATTCCCCCCTATGGGGGGGGAGCGAAGGGGGAGAAGAGAAGCGTCCCCAGTTTGATAGCTGTGACTAGCACCAGCAAGAGCAAACGCCGCTCCTGGGATTTTCTTGGCTCCCCTCCCCGCGCGGTGTTCTTCTCACGCTGCAGCTTTTTCGCCCCTTCCAGGTGACGTGATGCCCGTTGTTTTGGTTCGCCCGACCAATCGGACTCGTCGCCTGGATTCTACGGGAGCCGGGATGGGCCCGTCGTGGCGGCAACAGGACTCCCCTCTGCCGACCATAACGCATTGCGCAGGGTGCACCTCCGCCTGGTCTTCCTGCAGCTTTAACAGCTCTGACATGGAAACCCCATTGCAGTTCCAGACGAGCTTCTGCTCAGAGCAGCAGCAGCAGCGCCCACACCCGCATTACCATCACCACCACCAGCAGCAGCAGCACAGTGAAGAGAGGCAGCCAAAGCAGCAGTCCAGTCCGTGCTTCCAGTGCAACAGCTGCGCTTATTACGGGGCTGTGGCTGCCACAGGCGATAACCTGCCGCTGCTCTTCCGCACTTCGTCGCCTCTGTCGGTCGCCTTCCGGACTCGCTCCTCGCCGATCTCTTGCTCCGCAGCTTCCTCCCGCCAGGGCAGCCAGCTCAACGTGAGCGAGCTGACCCCTTCCAGCCATGCCAGTTCGTTCAGGCAGCCGCACCACTACTCCCAGCCCCACCAGTACCACCACTCCCACTCTCACCCGTGCCATAGTGTGCACCACCAGCAGCCGCCGCCCGAGCCGGCGGGCAGCCCCAACAGCAGCACCGGCAGCGGCAGCCACCACTACCAACTTCAGGAGCAGCAGCAGCGCCGCGAGAGCAACCCTTTCACGGAAATAGCCATGAGCAGCTGCAGGTACAACGGCGGCGTCATGCGTCCTCTCAGCAACCTGAGCTCGTCCCGTAGGAACCTCCACGAGCTGGACTCCGAAGCGCAGCCGCTGCAGCCCCAGCCGCCGCCGCCGCCGCCGCTCTCCAGCCCCACTGCCTCAGCTGCCGCGGCTGGCCCCGAGATCGTGGTGTCCAAGCCCGAGCACAACAACTCCAACAACTTAGCGCTCTACGGATCTGGCGGCGGCGGCAGCGGCGGCAGCGGCGGCAGCCAGACCAACAGCGGCGGCAAAACCAGCAAGAAGAAGAACCAGAACATCGGCTACAAGTTGGGACATCGCCGCGCACTCTTTGAGAAGCGGAAGCGGCTGAGCGACTACGCGCTGATCTTCGGCATGTTCGGGATCGTAGTGATGGTGATCGAAACCGAACTGTCTTGGGGCGCTTACACCAAGGTAGCGAGTCTCTCCGCGCTCCACGACCAACCGCTTTGTACCTTCTCGCCTTTCGTGTATTGTATTTCTTGTATCCTATTTCTAAAAGCACCTTTCCCTCTTCCCTTCCCTTGCCTTCTCTCCCTTCCCTTTTTTTTGTTTTGCTGCTTTTCGCATTATCCCTAGTTATTCTATCCCTTCTCCTTCACTTGCTTTAAGTATTTCCCCATCCTTTACCTGCCCTTTCAGCTTCAGACTTTGATCGTGAATGCTTGACTTCGCCCCATGAAGATTGTTGGCTATTAACAAACCCTCTCCCAAATGTAGGCTTCTGGGATGAGAAGGCTAATCACAGATTCTTACTAACTATGGCCATAAGACTGGTGTTCCTGAGTCTGCATTCTAGGGAATCTGGAATGGGAGTTTTCCAGCATAAGGAGCTGCCAATGATAGTGCTTCAGTTGTCAACTTTTCCTTATGGAAATCATTTTCAGGGCAACTAGATTTGTAGATTGCTTTGATGAGTATCTGTTTTAAGTTTTCTTCCCCTTGCAGATATGTAGAATGCCAACTCAGCCATGCTTTTTTGTTTTTGAGCAAACGCTGTGATGTATTGCATTGTTCAAAGAGTAACTCGGATATTTACTGATTTGTACAACCAATAGACTTGGAATATCTTCTCTAATCTCTGCTTTGCGTCATTTTTCATCATCCATACATTCTGAATGAATACTAGGGATGCCTTGCCACTAAGATTCCCTACATTTGGCATACAGACACTAGCAGATTGTAGCTTCTCAACAGAATAGCAACAGCTGAGTATTAAACATTTTTTCTTTGCTGCCAATGTTGCAAAGCTGGAAAAGACATTGGATAGTTCATTGATAATAGTAATAACCTTGAGAATATCAGCTCTTTAAATGAGGGGCTTTGAAGTCTTTACTTTTTATATGAAGTTATAATTTTAGTAAAACAAAGGGTTTTTTTTGAGTTGAACTCAACTTCTTGGATATGTTCATGCAGTTTTCTTGGCAACATTATGGAAGAGTTTTGACACTGACTTCTGCAGTATTTTCAATTTACCAGTAGTTAATAGCCATGGTATTTCCTGGTAATCGCCTCTAGACTTTGAAATTCTTAGCCTTTTACTGTCAAAAAGATTTGCCCAGCTTTGTAGGGTATGAAAACCAGTTTGATGAAGATGGAGGAGAGGGCAACTCTATTACTCCCCATTACTTTGTTAGATCCTTAAGTATTAATCTGTTGTCATGTAATGGTTATATTTTTTTACCTGGCCTGTAAACTAAATCTTTTTTTTAAACCAGATAGCCATTATTTTTCTCTGAGATCTTACAAACAAGGGACAAAAAAAGTCAACATATTAAAAAAAATCTATTTTTTCTTGCAGGAGTCGCTGTATTCATTAGCCCTTAAATGCCTTATTAGTCTCTCTACAATCATTCTGCTTGGTCTGATTATTGTATACCATGCAAGGGAAATTCAGGTATGTACCACTTATGAATCTGTATTTTTCAAGGACATTTCATAGAAACTCAGCAGACTGCATTAATGCATTTTTTTTCACTGCCTTGGAGATGGAATATTGTTACTTATAAGTCTTGAATATAGAAATCTGCGTGTGCTAGCTGTATTTATCTGTCTTTGCAGTTAATTTATTAATGTAAAAGTGAGGGGCATAATGCCTGCTGTTTTGCAATAAGTGTATAGTTGTTAATCCATTCTGGATCACATGACTATGAAGTCTCCAGTCACCTCTAAATATTAAACCTTGGTGATGCTGTACTAAACGTCTCATGTACAAAGCAGGGTAGCTTTTAAAAATGAATAGATTATAAAAACATAGAGCAAGAACCTCTAAATTTTATCCATAAATGTTGCAATAACCACAATATTCTTAGAATTCAAGATACATTTTGGTTAAAGGATAGATGATTAGTTCTGATTTTGAAGAAAGATTTTCATCTGATTCATTTCAAGATTAAGAGGCATAGCTCTTTTTCCTATTAGAGTAATTTCAGCCATGGTTCATTATCTCCATAAAGGAAGAACATTGTAAAAGGTACTTTGTTTAATCTATACAACATTGAACAAAATGTACCATTTTTTTTCATTAACAGAAAATGTTTTCATTGGTGGAGTATATATTAGTATGTAGTGAGCAGTCACTGTTAAGTCTGCTAAGATATCCCCAAACAGCCATCCGTTATGAAGGTGTTCAAGGTCATATGATCTGATTGACTTAAATTGGATTGAAGCATTAATATAAAATGCATTTACAGGTTACAAAGTCATTATCTACCACACCTCTCTGAGTAACTGATTATGAAGGAAAAGGCTACCAGTTTTTAATAATTTTGAGATATTCCTTGCCTGTCCCAAAAGAAATAAGTGATAAAGGCTTCTCTATTATTGCTTAGTAAACTTAATGGATAATAACTTGCAGTTTTACTCAAGAGAGTCTTTACTTTTACATATTTGAAGAGATATTAAATAAATTATGACAACTTTTTTTTCACCAGCATTGGAATGTTGCTACTTCTACCTTTTTATTTGCAAATGGGTGTACTATAAATAAACATTTTAAAGTTTAAACAGTCTTTTTATATAGTTTCTTATGTAGTTGTTACTATTTTTACCAATTATTATTGCTATATATCTTTGAGTCATACTAAATTTTAAAATATACACTTTTTTAACACATGTTTTAGCTAAAATTAGTCAGTCCTTGTGAAATCTCCAACATTTTCTAATTTTCGAACTTCACTATTCACAGAAATATTAATAACAAAATTGATGCAAACAAAGCCAAATGTAGCAATTTTCTCAAAGAAAACTCACCTTCCTTAACAAGGCAAATCTCATGGACAAATGAGGCTTCTGCTTTGAATCACGAAGCGCTGTAATAAATGATGTTATTTTAATTTATATTTTATTTTAAATCATATTTAATTTTTCTCTATTGATTTAAATGCCCTTGAAGTAAATTTAATTCACATGATAGCAAAAGCAGGAAAAGCTTTTTCTAATTGTACTACAAGGAATCATCCAGTTATGATGTTAGTAACATTACATTGTACTCAGAAATGTCAGAGTACCAAATAATGACTGTCTTGTGAATGACATTTAATTCAGAGGTTATTTTAGTTTCAAAAAGTATCATATGAAATCATTCAGTGCAGACTGTTTCCTTGAGCTTTCCAGTAACACATTCCCTAGGGATATTAGTGATAGAGCATTCAAACACTTGCATAATGTTATTTTTTTCTAAGAACTGCATGGGTATTTTAAAATCAACCATAAAAGTGTTTGTATAGTATATAAAACTACACCCCAAACAATCTCATCTAGATTTTATGACTATGTTTTGGAAATACAATGAACAGTTTCTCTCTCCCTAATGGTGATCTTCATTGTTTTTACTGTTATGTCGAACAATAGAAAGATTTTTTTAAAAAAACACACACACACAATGCACCATAAAACAAATTTAATACTATATTAACTTTCCTCTACTGGAAAAAATAAATGATTCTGCATGAATTTAAATGAATGCCAATACTTTTTTAAAAAAAACTCAGTTTGTACTGTATTGAAAGATAACACACCCAGCAATCTACCTTGTTCAGCACTGTGGACAGCTCTAAATATCAGAAAAGGTTTTTTTGTACCAATTTAAGCCATTTAAGTACCTGTTGTGTATGTGTATATCTTTATTCATAAGTTATTCACAGTGTTCTGGAAAACCCAAACTTACATTTATGCTGAATGGTTTTATTTCTTATTGGTATATTTATATAGCATATATTTATATTTAATTGCTGTTTTGTGTTCTGAATTAATGTGAGAAATATGTTAGTGAAAAGTGAAATTTCACCTTTCTATAGAAAGTTCAAAGGTGGGGATACCTCATCTGGAAACTTGGGGGGGGGGTAGCTTAGAGGATTTCTCAAGCTAATAAAATTAGTATACATGCTCTAAATTAACTTTTTTGTAAACAGGCATACAATTTTTCATTTGGCAAAGAAAACATTTTTTTCTAAATAACATTTCTTTCAAAATGTTGAGCAAAATTTTAAAGTTTTGGGAATGACAAATAATCCCAGTTATAATATCTCATAATATTTCAGAGTTTAAAAAATATAATAATTCAGCTTCTTAGTGAAAAATAATGATTAATGGTAGCATGATAAGACTAGCAACAGAGGAGAATATATGTTTTCCTTCTTTAAGAATTTTAAGCTACACAGAAAAACTTAATATCTTATTGGTGCTTTTTAAAAAATGAAATTGTCAAAATCCTCCATTTCCAGAGTCTTTAATGTCAACTACAACTGCATGGAGTCATTTGATTCTTTGTCTGCTTATTACAGAATATGGCCCATTAGTCTAAATCATTTATATTTTGATTCCAAGAAAATGTAGACAGAGTAATGGAATGGAAATAATTATCTGGACCTAAACATATATAAATAGTGTCTCCCCGATGCAATGGTATTTTTCTAAAACAGCCTTCTTTAGCCTGGTACTCTCCAGCTATTTTGAAATTGTGTGATATATCAGGGGAGTATCTTATGAAGGTCTATTGTAATGTCTCTAAATTCTTGCTTTTAAAACAAATATATGTGAATTAAAGTTTTGAAATATAAGAATTCACTTATAAGATTAATATCAGCTTGGTTTTAAGTATTGTCACTGACATGCATTCAACTTAAAACCTGGACATGAGCTATATGCATATATACAATAATAGTTCCCTACATAGTTTCAATCTAGTCTTATCATCAGTATCCATTAACAAACAGAAATTGATAGAAGTTTGTTATATGTATTATCCAGAAATATTTATTGAATCCCTTGTCCTGTTAAGTAGATTCTTCAATTTAATGTGATAATATAAATCATTGCAATGCTTAATCATTGGGTTTAACAATGTTCAAGTCAGTTTTGGGTTTGGAATATAAATCTGAGACTTCTGAAACTAAGAAGCCGTTATTTCAGAGATCAAATATTTCTCTCTCCTATGGGCTAGTTGAAACTTGATTATTCTCAAAACTCATAATTTACGATGTCACTGATAATTAAAATAAAATAAAATAATTTCTCTTTTATCTATTTGGCCAATGGCCAAAATAAATATTTATTCTAAGAAGAAATTCTGTATTCTGTCAATTAAATTAAACTTTAATTTAATTTAAATTAAATTAAATGTAAAGACATTTAGATGATATCTAATGGATGATCTGGATGATCTGCAGGCGATAGTCCATTTCTTTTTCTGTTTAATGTTTACATGAAGCTGCTGGAGAGAAGCCATTTGTATGAGCTCTTCAAGGTAGACCAAACTTGAACATCAAAGTTATGAATAGTAAAATTCTTTTACCTATAGAGGTATAGTAACAGAATCTTGCAAGTCCTGCCTTTATTGTAAAGAAAACTAGGGAGGGACAAGTCTGAGTCATTTTCCCCAATTCTTTCCTGTTTTGGACTTAGATTTGTCTTAACTGACTATTGCTTTGGTTCTGGTTCTTCCTCCTTTTCATCAAGGTTATTCTCACAGACCATTATGTCTAATAGTTTAGGTGCAATATCATCAGCTGCTCTGGATGGACTGGACATGCTGTGGAGGTGCTTTCCCAGTGTCTTGAGAGTGTAAGGATCTAGATGAGAACAATAACCCAGAATTAAACCTTGGTATGATGAAGTTAGTGTTGATACATTGGTATTTTCCTTTTCATCAATTATTTCTTGATGGAAAAGCAACATCTCTAAAAGAACAGGTCTTGACTTGAGGCGCTTTCTGGACTTAGGGTTCTTACTAAACTAGCCACTTGAGTCTATGATCAGGGAGCTGTGCCCAACTGACTGGTGTGCCAGTTATAACTACCTGGAATGAGAGGATCAGGCAACAATGACTCATGCCCTTCTTTGTCATCAAGAGACAGGATTCCTGCAGTGCACTCGACATAGTGTAGCCTTTAAAGACTACTTGGAAATTACAAGATTGCAGTTATTTAAGTTTTGACTGGCACTTGCTATCGGCAGCACTTGTTCTTCAAATCCTACACTGGCTCCCTATTGGTTTCTGGGTAGAATTTAAAGTTGCTGGTTTTAACCTATAAAAGCCCTGCATAGCTTGAAGCAATCACATTCTGCATAAAGATCATCTCAAGAGAAACTGATTTTCAGTTGCAATGATGACCTTCTGGAATAATCTCTCCATTAATATCTGGCTTGCCTTTTCTCTGAGAACATTCAGGAAACAACTAAAGATGGAGCTCTGTCATATGGCATTTTTCTAGGGAATGGACATCCTGAGCTTCTTTTGTTATTGTTTGGTATTTTAAATGTTTTATTTTTAAATCTACCATGGATGTTTTAATGCTGCATTTGTTTGACCTCTGTTGCCATGGGTGTTTTATTGTTCTTTATTGCGGATGTTTATATTTTGTTCTAAACCATTGTGAGTCAGTTTACTGAAGTTGG